AATTTCTGGTTGTTTCTCGGCGCATTGTGCAGAACAACTTACACTGTCATCGACCTAACCGAGTCTGATGGTTATACACCACGATGTCAAAGTTATGTTCGATGACGATGGCGGGGAGAGAAAAATCGCACTTGTTAAGATAAACAGGGAACATATTCTTAGAAGGATTTACGTATAAAAACGCTCTAAGAGTGAAGTTAGACATGAAGATAAAAGAAGTTTTAGCTCCCGGTAGTTCGATTAAGTCAGAAATTCCGTAGTTCTTAATGACAACGCCACACGAGTAATGCCACGTTCCCACGCAAATAATCCGTCGTTTTTTGTTTTTTTTTTTGTTTTTTTTTTTGTTTAATGATCGATAGAAAGAAAAGTCTGCCGCTACACAAAAATTGGGCGCGAAAGAAGCTAAATTGTATTACATTACCAAACAATGAAATTTTAAACGAGGGAAATTGGGGGTCAAGACCGGTGTCGGTCACCCAGGCAGCCAAGACCGAGCGATTGACGTTTCTCGGGCGCTGACTCTGCTTAGATTTAATAACGAGACGCGACTCAGCCTCTCGCAATTGCCAATACTTACGGATTGGGATCCTGTAGGAGGGAGGCGAGCGTCAAGGCGTTCACCCACTGATTCATACTCTCGCGTGTGTCCGCGGCAAAGTGATACGTCCTCATGTTGGCGTGCTCGGCCTTGAAGGCGAATTTCTTGTTGATCTTGTCTTCGGGCCTGCAGACCGTGACTCGGTAGGACGGAAGCAGAATCGATCCCAGAAGCTTTTCCTTTAATCATATCGGGCGTTCGATGTACCGGGGATCGGGTGCATTGTGGGAAATGTAAGGCCTGCGCCAGCAAAGTCTTATTGCCTCTCGGCAACGTCTATCGCGAGACTTTTACAGGAAGTTCATTATACTCGTGATACTTTCAAGTTGTGTGTAAGTATATGAAATACTTGGACCTACGAACACTTGGCATCCTCTCTTTTAATATCAACTTTTTGTCCCTTTTTCGCCTGCCACGTAAGCGCCGCGACTCTTTATTGAGGATTTTTCTCCTTACGCTTCTTTTCAATTCCCATTCGCAAATATTTATCTTTAATGCTGCATCGTCAATGTACGTTAAAACCATACTTTATATTTTCTTACACACATCGTCTTATATTTATAAAATAATATAAAATAAAATTACATTTGCTATTCCCTAATAAAAGTTGCGTTTCACTAACGCGTCGACATTTCAAGGATTACATCTAAAATTTTATTACATCATACCGACTGAATGCGAGATAAGTAGATTATATTGCCGAAATTTTTAATCGCATCCCCAGCTCAAACAATTCGCAAATTGTCAAACGCGATTGTTTTTACAGGAAATTTAAGCAGCAAACTCGTACGAATATAAAATATTAAAATTTAACATATTCATCGCTAAATAAATTTCAAGATTAATAAATGCCCCACCGACTAAAATATCCCAACTACAATGCCATCGTATTACTACTGTACACTATTATACACGTAAATTTAAATTATTAAATGAAAAAATTCTAAACACTATATAATGTAATCATTTTATTAATTCTTCTTCAAGCCTTAAATAATAAAACCATGAAAACTTTACGGGCAGCCGTCGCATGTAATAATAATAATATTATTATTATTCGTTTAATTTTACTTTGCTCCATGAGAATTTTTGAAAAAAAAGGAAAAAGAAAGAAAAAACAAACAAAAAACAGTAGAATTGTAATGCAAGCACAAAGATATTATTAGTATATTTTATATTTTATAAAGATTTATGCTGGTATTTATCATTTTAAGGATTTTATGTCGAATAATGCTTAAAACATAGAACCTTTTACGTTACAGATATTTCAATACATTTTATGTAGAATTATTAATTTGACTCGATATAAATAAATAATGATACATCTAAGTCAAGTCTACAATTATCTAATTTTTATTATCCTCTCAATGAATTGGTGCCTAAAGATTGGTAAGCTTATACTATTTTGTCAAAATTACTTGCCTTTTCATAATAATAGAGTGAATATTAATAACAACATCAACGTAAATATAAAAAAAAAAAACAAAAGAAACATTAAAAAGAAAAAGAAAAATAGCGATGGCAAAATGGAAAGGGAACAAGATTGTATTTCTATTGAAAACTCTTTCCACTTGCATTTTATAAATACAAATTGTTTTATGAATTATTATACATTTATCCCTAGCCCCTCTCGCGCCCCTCACTGTTACGCATCAAATTTACGCAAACGTTCTTTTTAACGTTCTTTGCTTAGGCATTTATTTGCATTATAATTCTTATATAAAATTAATAATCCAGCATAAATAAGCACGCGATATAAAATTATAATACGGGAACTCGTATGTCCCTCCTAATTTGTATTAACTCTAATAATAAATTAAAAATAAACTTCGTGTTTGAACGTTGTATTAAAATTTATATTTAAGTAAAGTATGTTGTCTCGTTAATATCCGAAAAGCTTTGTTTGAATTTAAAGTAAGTTCATATTTTATATTTTACTCGGCATACATTCGCCCAATGAAGCGACTATCTCATAAAAGTTGGATGGGATATCTCGAGAGTCTCAAAGCAAGGCTTTCCGAGTTGAAGACACGAAAAACTTTCGAAATGAACATCCGATATTGAAATGGTAGGTTCTGCAGCAAAGTAACGGCCTTTACATTCTCATTTTTATTTCAACGTCGTTGACCTTGCATTTTCCAATGACGACAGAAATTTATTCGCACGCGCGCGCGCGCTGCTAATTAATGAAAGCGAATGGGTAAGAACAGATGGACTCATTGACTGAAGGAGTGATTAATTACAGAGTAATTTTCGCAACTCACCCTTGTAATAAAAAAGGCAGTACTCGGAGAGGACGAACCAGCGCTTCTTCCAGAGCATGAGGCCCTCGGAGCCCTGTTTGTGTAGCCATCCTTGAAGGGCTACGGGTGCGGACACCGGCCTCTTGGCTGCCGGCGATCTTAATCCCTGCTGCGGCCCACTTCTGCGCCGCACTCCGGATATCGACGGAGTGCCGCTACTGTCCGGCACGCCTTTTGCTCTTATTGGCTGTTGCGGCTGTAGTGGCTGCTGCTGCTGCTGCTGCTGCTGCTGCTGCTGCTGCTGCTGCTGCTGCTGCTGCTGTTGTTGTTGTTGTTGTTGTTGTTGCTGCTGCTGGGATTGGGCTTGCGGCTGCGGTGGTGAGTTAGTTACCGAAGCCGTCGCCTGGACAACCTGTTAAAAAATATGACCCAATGATAAAATCGCCACTTGTCCCTAGTGATCAAACTTAACTTATCTCTCTAAGAAAATAATTAAACGAACGGTCAAATGAAAGTTATTTATTCAAGCTTTGTATGATGATTTCAAATATTACGATCGATTCTCTTGAATATGTCATCGTTATATGCACAATTAAACATCACGATCGATTCATGGAAATATAATATTACGAGACCTATACTTATTTATCTACATTCTATTTTCTTTTCAATCATAAATTCAATAATTAAATTCAAATGTTAAATGGGGGACTTATTAAATTTCTTGAATAAATTTTCATTATTTTAATGAAAAAGCACGTCGTGCCAGCGCGTATGTGCGTGCGTGCGTGCATGCGAGTGCGAATAATATATAAATAATATGTAATTATAATAACTCGTTAATAATAAATATATCTTATAGAGTGTTAAAACTAGTTTGGAATAATGATTATAATAATATATACATAAAGCAGTTTAATTAGTTTTATGAAATATCGCTGTCGGTTCATTCTGATAAAAATTACAATCATTATGCATTACGAAAGATTACATCACAAATGCAAAACTTTCTTCCAATAATGTCTCGTGAATTTTTCATAATTCTTTTAAAATTTAATCGATGGAAATTATTTGAAATTTACAAGTTCGCTTTCGCCAATCGTTGGTTCGCGATAATACTTCTTATCCCCTTTGTTCTGGCGAAAGAAAAACAGAAAACAATCGCCTTTGAAATACATATAAAATATGTTGTATAGCAAATTTCTATGAACGATTTGATACTTTGTACCTTTTAATTATTATACTCTGAATTTCCATAAAAGATATTAAACGTCGAAGCGTATTCACGATCATAAGTTCATGACTCGCAGCAAAATTGCTTTATTTATGACTACCATATTCGCGGTAATAAAATTAAATGAAATCCTGAACAATGTCCAGGAAAAAAAAAAAAAAAGAAGAAGAAAAGAAAAAAACACGTACTTTTCTGTAAAATTTAATAGTACACGTAGGATTTTCATTTTTACTGAATTTAATACCGCTTTGTGATGAGATATTCTCTACTTAAATATTTTCTAACAAATCATTGAGATCCCTTCATAACAGAAGCAATTTGCTATATCTAATCCCTTGGCTATAACTTTATTACCTATTACACTCCAAATAAAAACTCTAACCTACTACAGAAAATCATGATCTTACACAAATAAACAAGATTTTGTCTGGAAAAGATAAATAATTTATTTTTCGATTTTCTGCCAGGAATGAAATATTAAAAAAAAAAAAAAATAAAACATAAAATAAAAGGGATTAACTTCGGATTAGTTGAATTACTGATCGGATAAAGAGTATGAAAAAAAAATTTCAGCGTTCTGGATCAATGTAGGATGATTACTTTCTCGAGGGTTGGTAAAACAATTACGATGACAAGATTAAAATTCTATGGTCTTAGACTAAAAAGTGTGAAAAAATCTTAAAACTAAAAATAAATATATTACAGTAATGTAGATCGAAAGGAGTGGATAAAACGGCAAAATCCTCGAATTTGCTATAAACATTTATTATTATATTAATAACTCGTAATATTAAAAAAAATAATTTGATTATTTTATATAACAGCGTAATTTATTCGATCGTTTTAAATATAATTATCCATTTTTATGATAATTATTCAAGAGTACGTTAAATCTATGCAAAATATTCAAATTAAATAATTCGGAATTAAAATTGAAGCTGATCTGAATTAGACTTAAGAACAAAAAAAAAAAAAAAAAAAAACGAAATGAATTAAGGTCTATCCATTACAATAACAAAAACATTCTTTTTATTTGATATTTGGTTTTATATTCTAATTTACATTGCTTCCGCTATTTTTTTGTCTTAAGATATTTTAATATATTATTAGTTTAAGAAACATATTAAATTAAAACTTTAAAACTCAAATAAGTAATTATTTTACATTAATTTTAATATTATTTCAACACAACGTTAAATTCAGCAAACATTTTCAAAGAAATTACTCCTCAATGTGAAGCGTCACTAATGCATCCAAAATATTATCTACGACTAATATTACAATGTCACATTTCGCTTTATAAACTATTTATACTTCTAAAATATTAATATAAATTTAATGCTAAATGTACGCTCGTCTTTTATCTTTACTTTAACATGACATTCCTTTTACTTTCTTAATGCATTAATGTTGTTAGCATTGCTTACCCTATTTGCGCCGTACCTTCGCTAATTCTTATAATGAGAATGATTTTTCTTAATTTTAATCCCCCCCCGCCCCCCGGAACCATCTCTGCCTCTCTCACTATCTCGTACTCTCTTATTTTCTTCTCGTTCTTTTTTATTTGTACATATTATCAAAGTCCAAAGATCTTTGAAATAGAAATGGTTCGACGCAGCGCCGACTGCTTTATAACCATATACAGCAAAGCAATGTGAAAACTCGGAAAGAAAATTCTAAATTATAAATCACCATCTGTATTTTCCAGTCTAAATATTCAGGCTATTCGTGCAGTAATCTACTCTTATTCTCGATAGACTCGTCGAGAGTTCACCCCGATAAGGTCGGCCGATGTCTAACGCAACCGATACGCTTAATTAGATCGTTGCAGATGGGCTGGACAAAGGCGACGCGTAGATGGAGATGAGCGAGCAAAACGAGGATAACACGATGGATGGAATCAATCGGAAAACCGAACCTCCGGGCATCAGATCGAGCGCATTCGTTTATCATTCTGAGCTTTGGCGGCCGACGATAGAGAGGCGGCGAGAAGATCTTGCGCTCCTCCGTTCATTAATCACTGTCCGAGAAGGATAGAATATAATGGCTATGCGGACGCATACGGCGAGCTCCCAATTTTTCTTCCAGCAACGCGAATTATCAATGAGCGCGCAATTTCGTCTAATTCCCCGAGCTTCTTCACACGTCAGTGGATATCGATGCAACTCCAAGCCGACTTTTGTATCATGAAAGTGATAAGATTCTATTAATGACTTTGGCATCGATATTATAACAGTTTTAGCGCACAAACTGTGATTTTATCATTACATTATTGCTTGAAATTAATCATAACGAACGCTTTTGTTTTGTTTTTTTTTGGTTTATTTTTTCAAAATTATGCAGTTTTTTCATAGCTGAAGCGAATGTCGAGCGTACATTTTTAATTCTCTTTAGTACTTTGCGTCTTATAACGGCTCAGAAAATTTTTGAACAGTCCAATGTTTAACTAATCTTCATTAATAATAAACTAATATATAAACACGATATACATAAACGTCCGAGCTGTAATCTTAAATGTAATTTGTTTTATAAGCGAGGCATTCTGCAAAATAATTATAACTGCAAAATAATTATGAATTAATTGAAAGCAAGAAATATTTTGCATCGAAAGCTTTAAGAAATGCTAATCATAGTCTATGCGTCCGAAGCTTTTGATTAAAAAAAAAAAAAAAAAAGAAAAAAAAAAAGAAGAAGAAGATAGAAGAGGTAAAGGAAGAAGAATTTCGATTCGAAAAATCAAATTATACTAGATTTTATATTCTCGTGTGAAAAATTGCTTGAACATATACGATTTAAGAATGTCCGATAAATTAAATAAATTATTTAATATTTTTGCAGTTTTCGGTCGATTGATAACATTTATAAATGCTACAGGAGTGATTAACATTACTTTTACATTATTCATGTCCAAGCCTTATTATTTTTATGCTCATTTGAGGAAAATAAAATGCTTGGTATTTAGAAATGACTAATATCTTCTTTCTATTAATACTAACATTTCATTAGTTAAGAAAAATGAAAACATAACATTGCAAAAGGGGAGAGATTATTTGCGCGAATATAAATACTACAATACTGTATAAATTACTTATACTAAATTACTTTATATTTACAATTTAAATTGTAAATATAATATCAGCATGTAAAATTAATAGTGAATTAATTTAAACCATGGCGATAATGTAATCAGCAGCGAAATTAATATTAATAATGATTCGCTTGTGCTATTATCCATTTTATAATCCAAACGAATATTATACATTTAACTAAAAATTTCCACGAAAAATAGTACACCATATTTCATCTTGGAGAAAACGGGTTTATTACATATATACGAAAAATTCACACTCTCGAATAGAACTCTCTGCTCTAGTCGGTCAATGCACAACACGAAGCGTACGGAAAAAAGCTTCTGTCCTGCGTGAAAGGTCGCAAACGAAAACGAAATAACGAATGAGTGACCACTCTGAAAGGCAATAAATTAAAGGGGAAACAAGAGCCAATGCATGCGAAATACTTTATTGAGTGAGTGTAACATCGACGTACTATCGTCACGTACTGCGACCAACGCATTTGTGCGCAGCTGCGAACTGATCCGAAGAGAAGCAGCTCATCGCCATAAGCCTCGACCAGTCTAAGATGAACTTTCGACTGTAAAATCCCCCGAGCGATTAAAATTTCCCGATGCACACCTCCCACGCGTCGGCCATCGACCTCCGCCTCCTCCTCCTCCTCCTCCTCCTCCTCCTCCTCCTCATCCTCATCCTCCTCATCCTCCTCATCGTCATCCTCCTGCCCCTCTTTCACGATGCACTGCGCTAATCCCGCGACAGGGAGATGAAACGTCGCTGAATCGCCTCTGTAATTGGAGTGGCGCGTAGCGGTTAAGAGGGGAGTGAGAAGCTCGCGGTCGGGGAGGTCGACTAATGAAATTACCGGCGGCAAGGACGTTCGCCGAGCCGGAAGAGGGTCAACGGACCTTCGCGGCGAGTGGGTAGTGCTCGTAATTTCCCGGGGCGGCACGCGATCACCGATGGTTCGCGTCACACTCGCGACCAACCCAAGACCCTTTTTCGCGATTCAGATTTTTACGGATCAACGCGCACTCGATTATGGAGAACCACTGGCTTGCGATCGTAGCTGTTCGAGCTTATGGGGCTTGAGCGGCAATTAAAGACGAGCATTTATTTATCTCGGTTTCAGAGGATTAAAATAATGACAGTCTCAACGCGCCTCTTAGGCTTTGGAACGATTTTTAAATTTATTGGAGGAGGAGGAGGAGGAGGAGGAGGAGAAGACAAGTTGTTGCGACGACAAGTGCGTTTTTTAAATTAAGTTACTTTC